CCGAAATTATGTCATACACAATTCCCCTCTAATGAAATCTATCTATCTTGCGACGTGATCATATAATATTCCAAAAAAAAGGGTTGAATTCCCAACCTCGAGGGCCCTCCAGGCCCCGGTCTGACAAGACATTTGAGAGGTTGTAAGTCACGGTGACTCAATCAGTTCAATGGTGATAGACCTTGTACCGATTCACACCAGCGGTTCGGATCAGCACATAGGAATTGTAACCTCCACACTTTGATTTGTGCTTGCGTGGTATTTGCTTGCTCGGCCTTACACAAATGCATATGAACACTGAAGTGTCTTTAAAAAGACCTTTTTGTTTGTGAAGTGGAAACATGTAAATTAAGGCCTAGTTTGGTACTCCCTTCGTCCCGCAAAGATTGTTTCACTTTTTTTTCGAGAAATCCCATTGTCGCATATCAATGACATAAACTCACTTTTCTTAATAACTGTGTGACTTCCTCATGTCTCAATGTTAGTGGGACGAAGGTAGTAAATCTAATTTTCAACTTATAAATCTTATCAGACAATTTTTAATCTTACATTGAACTTTTGATTTTCACGCACATAATTGTGTACTAATCAAATGAGTTTCAGCCCTGATTACTCCAGACCCCTCAGGCCCCCTCCCCCAGGCCCCCCTAGAGTAAAAAAAGTAAGTTTGAAGTTACTTTCCTGTCTGAATCGTACGAATTTGTTGAAGAGATTAATTTTAGTTTTTTCCCCGAATAGTTTTTTCTTAACCCTATTTCTAGTATATAGTTTAAATATAATTTTTGCACACTTTAATAGATTTAGATAGGGGTGAATTCGGTTTTTTCGGTTCAATTTTGACCCAAAACCAAATTCATAATCAAAATAAAAGGTCTGATTCAGTTAGATTCGATTTTATATATCCAAATTTGAAACCACAGTTTGATTGATTTAGTTGTTTCCATTTGGTTTCTATTTTTTACGAAAAAATATTTACATTTGATATAAAATTATACAATGGTTGAGGTAGGGCAATCAATCATATTACATAAAAGTTAAAGGAAAACCCACTACAACAAATAAAATAAAACGAAAATGAATAAATATGTCTTGAATTATAATTATTATACGATCAAGAGTATAGCTGAGAGAGAGACCACATACTTTGCAAGCTTTTTTAAAACAAAAGTTAAGGAAGTTTTGTACTTGAATTCATTTTTTTATTTAATTTTTTCATGACGATATATAACTTAGAAAATTCCTACACAAAATTGTATATATTCTTAATTTACATTTTTTAGATTAGTTCGAAAAAAGTTCACAAATATATACCACATCCGTCCCTTAAAACTTTGCCAACATTTCTTTTTTGATTGTCCCATTAATTTTGTCATTTTCTCTTTTAAGTAAAGAAATTGTGGCTCTAGTTAATTCTAGTTCATCTACACAAAGCTCATACACACGGTTTTTACTTTATTAATCCCTTGCTGGTCAAATTTGGTAAACTTTTAAGGGACCGATGAATATGTTCTATGAGATACGATTGCATGTTGTGATAAACATTTATTTGTTTTTTCAATAGAAAAACTGTAGATTACATAAAGACAAAAGATACTAGCTAGTAATAACTAATAAGCCGCAGCAAAAAAAAGCATCATTATTAAATACATTTTTGTAAACTAAATTAAACACAAATATAATAAAGTGAAATTGCGCGTGCATTTGGAAGAATATCTTGAAATTGTGCATGCATTTCATTATAGGAGAATATATATATCGTTCATGCAAAACACTTTCAAAAACTAAACTGAAAATAAGACCAAATACACTCTCTATGTAAATGGTCCACTGAATGGAAGCACTTCAGCTCTTCAATTTGAACCAAAACTTCGATTAATCACTATAAACACATTTAATTTCGGTAAAATGAACGTATGAAAAAGGAATACAAGAACTTTAAATAGTAGGATTGTGGGAGTATTATTTAGCATTTTGATTGAGCAATTCTTTATGTGTTTAACAATTCTTTGTGACTATCTAACAAGTGATTTTGTTCCTGGTAATAGATTATTAGGGGTTCACAAGTACCATGTATGTATTTATTCACTTTAAGTATATTTTGCAAAGTTGAGGTGAAGAAAGCCTAAACAACTAATCCCACAAATACTATTTTAACAAATTTGATGGAGACACTAATCTTGTAGAGTTCATTAATACTAGTTTAAGTCCATCTTTTTGCAACAAGTTGAAGTCCATCATTGTGCAATAGAATGCATGTTTGCGATCACCAAACCTATTATACAACTTTAATTTGCATCTCAAACGGTTAACTAACATTGCAATATACTCCTAGAATACTGGTCAATCAAACTCCATGTCCTATATCGTATCCTTACTAACCTCGTTCTTAAATTGATACCCAAGTCCCAAACCCTTTATGTGAAACAATATAGAGACTAGTTGTATCATTTTCTTATTCAGCATTATTTAATCAAAATACTTTAAAAAATAAAGTAATTTATTTATTCATTAGAATGATAACAAAGATACAAGTAAATGAATAGTCTAAGACTACAATGAGAATTTATGAGATGAACTATAGAACGAATAAGATCATCCGAACCTTCCATATTACTAACCCCGCAATAATATAGTACTACGTATAGTATAATGGTCTTGCTGCATTTGCTATTTATTTAGAAAAGTAGAACACTAATGCATTTAATTTTGAAGTAATAATTCTAAATATAAAACCAAAATAAAAATAGTGGACTCTGTTAACTTTAGTGACTTATAGTTGTATTCAAATGTTACATCACAATGACTATTAAACTTACACATAGTAACTTACAGACACATTTTTACTTATAGATTTTTTATTAGTAATATTTTAGGATGAATCTCTTTAATTTATAAGTAAATTAAATAGTTATTCTACTATGCACATAATTATTAAAACTTTAACTAATAAATTTCAACAATTTAAATCCAAGATTTATATGAAGAGAAAATGCTTAACTATTACGGAGTATTAATTAAATAAAGAAACTGCAGCCTTAGCAAATTCATGGCTGCCGTATTTGCTGACCGTCTGATATGAGCAAAAGGAAAATCCAAACTCATTTAAAATAACATCATTTAATTTTCATACTTATCACTTATTACTTAACAAATTGTATTACTTGTTTTAAAATTGGTAAGGCCGGGTTTCGATCAGAATCAGATTACCAGAGTTTAACATATACTTAGCCCGGAAACTATATGATAAGTTAAAAATGGCAAGCCTACTTGTGCTGCAGGTTTTTCGGAGACTCTCTTACGAAATATTACTCCTTTCACTATATGCTATAGCTATACCGAGCAACCACAAAGCCAAGCCAGTTTTCTGCTCAAAGACTGGACCAATTTTCTGACTTTATATTGTTACGGGAAACTAATATAAAGTGAGTCCGGTTCCAGACTTCTAGTTCCTAAAAAAAGACCAGGTCAATCTCGGTTTTGGTCTCAGGTTTTAATTTTACAAACTAGTAAGCACAACAACTAGGGGTGATAGATTGGGCCCGGGAGTAGGGATGGACCCGGGCCGGTCCGGTTCCGGGCCGGGCCCGGACGGGCTTTTTTTGCAAAATGTTGGGCCCGGAACCGGCCCGGGTTGATACCGGGTCCGGGCCTAACCGGGCTGAGCCCGGGTCAAGTTCAATTTTTTTTTGGTTTCTAATTAACACCCGACCCCCCCCTTCACCCCCACCCCCCAAAACACCCCACCCGAAAAGCAAAAAAAATTGAAAAAACATTGAACCCGGGCCGGTTCACCAAAAATTGGGCCTGAGCCCGCCCCGCCCGACCCGCCCGGGCCGGTTCACCAAAAATTGGGCATGAGCCCGGCCCGCCCGACCCGCCCAAACGGGCTAAAAGCCCGGAACCGGCCAACCAGTCCCGGTCCGGTCCGGGCCCAAACAGTAACGGGCCGGGCCGGTTCTGGGTCGGGCCGCCCCGGTTTAGTCCATCCCTACCCGGGCGGCCCGACCTGGGACTGGCCCAGCCCAACACGATACGGCTGTACTGTTTGGACCCGGACCGGTCCCGATCCCGGAGCATACCCGGGCAGGTACCGAGACTGGTACCAACCCAGCCTGGCATGTCCCAAATCCATCCCTAACAAAGCAACAGCAACACCATTCCCCTCCCAATTTCAATTTCCTAAAGGAGTTACTTCTTCAGCGGGTGTTGACCTCATATGATGTCTTTTTAGCAAAACTTGTATTTTTAGTTTGACGTACCCATATGTTGATATGTTGATATTATAGATACTTAAATTACAGACTAAAGGTCTGTAATTTAAGTACCCATATTCTTGACCCTACTTATCCAGTAACAGAACCACTCTATCATGATTCCTGAATGCCTACATAACCCATATTCTTTACCCTCCTTATCTAGTAACAGAACAACTCTATCCTGATTCCTGAATGCCTACATCTAGGCTTGGACTCAAGCCGGGTGGCCCGACCCGGAACCAGCCCGGGACCGACCCAGGACCGGTACTGTGCTGAACCGGCCCAGCCCGATGGCCTGGCCAGTGACCGGTCCGAGTACCCCCGACCCAGGGGGTTCCCGATGCAGGCTCGACTGCTCGAGTCACCCAAAAGCTGAATCGGCCCAGCCGTTTCAGGCCCAGTTCCGGGCTTTTTAATTTTTTTTTTCAATTTTTTTAACTTTTCAGGTTGGGCTAGGTATTTTGGGCCATTTGGGGTGGTTTGAGGGGTTGGGAGTGGAGTTAATCAGGACAAGGGAAAAAAATTAAAAAGAGGCCTGGCTGGCCCGACCCGGTGGCTACCCGGGTCGGTCCCGAGCCCACCTGTAATAACCCGGAGGCCTGACCGGGCCCGTACCGGCCCGAGTCCAAGCATACCTACATCCAATTCCAGCATTCTAACAGTTTTTTTAAGACATACTTCTAAACCTATTATTATAGTATCTCTCATAATGATACCAACATACTTGATTGGGACCACTTTAAAAGATCATTTGTGATACCATCAGGCATCAGACATCAAACATCAAACCACAATGTACTTGGCAACCTTATCACAGTTATGGAGTAATAAAATATTTTCATTGCAAATTTAATAAGTGAGTAAATAACCACAACAGCAATGACGAAATAGTGCCAACTTTAGTTCCATCTTTAACAACCAACAACACAAAAATAGAGACATTAACTGTTGCTCACATTTAAAAACATATTAATACAAATGTTTCCACCATCGGCTGTTGTGGTAGATACTGGAAATGTTTGAACAAATAGAACAGCAAGATATCATAGCAACATAATTAATGGCTCTTTTGATGAAGCAGCAGCTTTGTGCCTAATCTTTGCCGAAGTCTGCATTATAATGTGAACTTGATTCGAGCTTCTTAGCTTCATTCAGTTTTCGAACAGCCTGCCAAGTCAGAAATTAACAATAATATTACAAAATTGATATTACTACTCCCACATGTTATGGACCTAGCCCATAATAGACCCACATCAATGTCATAAGCCTAGGTGTACAACTCACTCCCAAAAGACTAGCCGATTAGGACGGGACACCTAGCTTATAAGCCACCAATCAAGCCCATACTTGATTGGTGTGGGATCGTTACAATACCCCACGCTTCGAAGAGACAACATCCTCATTGGTCACGGCTATGTTGGTCACGGATGGCACCCACAGGGCCCAAGACACCACTCCATAGGCCAGCACTCCGAGTTTTGGGACGGGGAAGATGGTGATGGCTCTGATACCAATTGTTATGGCACAACAGTGCCATAAGCCCAAGTGTAGAACCTACTTCCAAAAGACTAGCCGATTAGGAGGAGGGAACACCTAGCTTATAAGCCACGATCAAACCCATACTTGATCAGTGTGAGATCGTTACACACCACTCCTACCCTATTTTAAATCTAACAGAGAGGTACACTGTTCTAAATATCTTTACGCAGATGTCTCGTTGCCAATCCCTCGCACTCAGTCTGTTTGGAAGCAACATGATATGGCATTTTAGAGAGGAAGGCTTGGCTTTAAGGGATCAATTTATGTTCATAATAAGTAGAACATTACTAAAAACGTATACTAGGGGATTGAAATAGTGTATGTTTCCTTTTTTCTAATTCCACACATAATAACATTTTTGCTCCTCCGTCCAATTACATCGCTACTCAGGCACTAGGTCCCATTCTATCGCCTACCGAGAGAATTAGAAGTAGGTGTGTTGTATTAACACTCGGGGTTCATCTAAAAACATCAAGCCTAATACTATGAGTAGCCTATGACCTTGTATGTTTGGGATTAAGGCTTGGATGTTGTTGTTGTTGGTCAACTGTTCGATGGGCTATATGCATTGGACTCAAAAACCTTAAAAATTGGATTTGGAAAAGTTACCTTCATAAAATCTTCATGGATAACATAATCTCTTTCGGCACGGATTGCTGCCATTCCAGCCTCAGTGCATACATTACGCAAGTCAGCTCCGTTAAACCCCTGAAGAAAGGGACAAATTAGTGATTTAATGGACAAATTCTATTACTGCTCATTTTTACTGAGATCGCATCGTCAAACCTCTGCAAGCTTAACAACAGCTTCATAATCAATTTCACCGTGTTTGGCAATTCCTGCCGCGTGAATTTTGAGAACTTCCATTCTTGACTGCTCGTTCGGCAGTGGGATTTCAATCTTCCTATCTAGGCGCCCAGGACGGAGAAGCGCAGGGTCAAGAACATCAGGCCGATTTGTTGCCATAATCATTTTTACCTGTGCAGGAAAAACCATTTGTTGTTATTTCTTAATTCCTAAAGCATATGTAACAGAGAATTTGTTATGGGTTCCCATAAAAGTGAGTGACAGAAAGCTCATTGCAGTGTAATTTTTCACATCCTGTTTTGTTTACGGTTTACCTTTATGATTTTCAAATCTTGTTTCAAGACTGATTTTTCTACAGGCAAGTAGAAAAGTAAGAGTTTTGTTATGAACTTATGATCAAGCCCCTTTACTTTGGTAAATCACATCTCGCACATACATAACTATAGCCTCAGAAAATAAAGCGATAGCTGGACGTGCGGAATTGTGGTTCACTGGAACAATGAGGACAAATGAGATGCAGCGGTACCGCCTCCATACTATGTAATGATTCACTATATTTCTGTACTTCAAGAAACCAAGGAAATATATGATGGGGGGCGGGGGAGGACAACTGTTTCATTCTAAATCAAGAGAATTGTAAACATGTAATAGTAATTATACTAAGGAGTAATTTTATTTTTTGAAAATTATAAAATTGTCAATATTTGCTTCAAACAATTTTTCCCCATCCACTCACTTCCCCCTTCAGCACAAAGCCTAGGGTCTTCAAAAGTTCTGTAGATAAAGTACCTTCCCAAGCTGATCGAAACCATCTAGCTGGTTAAGCAACTCCATGAGTGTTCTCTGGATTTCACGATCAGCACTTGTTCCTTCACTAAAACGTCTTCCACCAATTGCATCAATCTCATCCATAAAGATAATGCAGGGCTGATATATAAAAAAATAGATATATAATACCTTTTAATGTCAAACATATGGGTATAATCTGTAGGATCAAGTTTTTACCTGGTGATCGCGTGCATAATTAAACATTTCTCGGATCAATCTTGCACTCTCCCCAATGTACTTATCAATAATAGCACTAGAAACAACCTGCAGGGTCATGATCATATAGTATAATGGATATAGATTAAAAGTAAAACGTCAACAGATAACCAAAGCAACAGAAAATGTTAATAGTAACCTTCAAAAAGTTGGCGTCTATATTGCTAGCAATAGCTCTAGCTAACAATGTCTTCCCAGTGCCAGGAGGCCCATACAGAAGTACACCCTGTAATGGAAACATATTCCTCCATTCATGAATATCAATAACTCAGATGTAAAAAGGAAAACGTGAAGTGAATATTACATTTGAAAAAAAAAATGATATTTATGCGTTTGAATTGTTGTTAAAAATACCTTTGGAGGCTTGATTCCAACTCTAAGGAAAAGCTCAGGATTCATAAGGGGTAACTCAATAGATTCCCTAAGTTCCCGAATTTGATCAGACAAACCACCTACAGCAGAGTAGCTAACATTTCCAGGATCCTCATGGAGCATGTTATAAACAACAGGGTCGACCTAGAAAGAATATCAAAGCAAAAATGCTCAGAAAAATGACAAATTAAAAAGACTCTAGGGCAAACAAAGAGTGAGGAAAACCTCGCGAGGAAGAGCTCGCATGATTGTCAGCGTTGTCATGTCAAGGACCACTCTTGTTCCAGCAATCAATTTTTCTTTATCAAGTTTATTACGGCAGCCCACAACATACCTCGGGCCACTGCTTGCTTTGACAATCACTAATAGAAGTAAATGCAAAGGGTTAAACCGCATATCAAGGTCATTGTATTGCAAGCAGTTAAGTCGCATATCATGTCACAGACTCACAGTATTGCTACATATCAATCTATCTGCAGTTGTCCACACAATGCATTATGTGAATAGATAAGCTAACCTGCTACTAATACAGAGTTTAGTACAGTAAAGATTTGATGATGAATTACGACTCTAAGCACATCTAATTACTGTGTTATGTGGGGTTCTAAGCTGCATTATGTGGACTTCTAACTCCTAGGCACGTCTAATTGGATACAAATTGTAAATGTCAGACAATAGAAAGATGCGCCAATATGAATGGAGCATAACGGATATTCTTTGAAGGAGGATGACTGATACAATGACAAAAATATGTACAGAATGAGAATGTTTTTACTTTGACTGTAATTTGCTGGTCTGGTTTGGTCTGAACTAGTCTGTTTTCTTTGTATTTTTATAACTATCCAAGTCTGGTCTGGGCTGAGAACTAGCCTGGTCTGATCTGGGAGGAATTACATGTCCACGTAAAAACATCCTGAATATGTGACAAGGAATATCCTTTTTATAATAAAAACAAGAGTTACTCTTAATAGATTATGACGCAAAAACTAGAAGTCATGAGAAGACGGATAAAAAGATCAATTCTTTGTAGATAAAACGAGGGTATTTACTTCGTTCATGGTCAAGGGGTCTAAGAACCTCTCCGATAATCTGCCCTACGCTCTGAAGGGACTTCAAATCATCCTCCGTTTTGTTGAAATCTTTCTTGGAAGCTCGAAGGCTCTCCCTTACTGCAGATCATTTTAAAGAAAAAATGTTTATTTAGAACAAAATTCATCACACACAAACAGAATTCACACATAGGCCTTCAAATGCGCGGGTTAAAATAGATCTAATAATAGATCAAACGAGAATTAGGGTTTTAAAATTTGAGAAAGCTATACCAGTTCTTAGCCTGGAGTCAAGTTCTTTGTGCTGAAGCAGCTTTTTGCGATACTCTGCAAGCGCATTGCGTCGTCGAACGGCGTCATCCCCTTCGCTCATCGCGTAGTTCAGAGATTCGTAGTAGGGGATTCAGTAATTGATCGGGGAAGAGATAGTTGTGACTGACGTAAAAATGCTTTTGGAGATAGCTTGGCCCCAAGGCTTCACAAGTTTAGGATGTTTGGAAGTAGGGCCGGGGGCAAATCAACAAATTTTGATATACTGCATTTATCCCATCAAAAAATATTGAATTTATAGAAAATTTAGATCAAAGTTATCCATAGGGTATGATAACAGTACCGAATTACTTGAGTATACATTTGTTTAGAAAATACACATTTTTGTAAATATTGAATTTATAGAAAATTTAGATCAAAGTTATCCATATATGTTTTGAAAATAAAATGTCTACCGGTATACATTTGTATTGAAACTCGTATTCAAATATTTTTGTAGTTATAAGAAATTAAGAATGACTAAATACACAATATCATATTAGGGATAAATGAGTTTATATTCATGTTATTTGAATAATATTATTCTTTTATTAGAGATCACTATTGATTTAATTATATTTGTATTGTTTAAGTTATTTTAGGATCAAGAATGTGTCATTTTTTAACAATAATTAAAAAATATACTGCTTCAATATACTAGTAACAATTATTGTTCAATATTGAATATGACATTAATAGATTATTATTTGTACTTGGTAACATTTTAATAATTGATTAAATATATCGTTAGCAACACTGGTTTTGTATATTTCGTTTGCCTATGATAATTTATTGTATTGAGAGACATGTATGCTAATTTAACGATGTTGTACCTTTATCATACCGAAATTTTGATATACCGAAATGCGGTATATAGAAATTTAGGTAAAGTAGCGGTATATAAATTTTGTATACCGAAAGTTTTGGTACGATAAAAGTATGAGAGAAAATATTCGATATGATGTACTGAACCACCCCTAGTTTCAAGTGGACTCCCAATAACCTGATCTGATTTAATCTGGTAGTAATATTTTGTGTTTGTGTATTTTATAATTGTTCATGCTTGGTCTGGGCTGGACTGAAAATAATTCAAATAAAAACATCAATATTGAGAACGCATTGCAACTCAAAACTCAAATATCATTTCCTGATTTACTACATGGACCTGGAATGGCCCTCGACTTTCATGAGTCATTCAGTGTTTGTCCATTGCCTTTTTAATTGTCATATGACATTATGACATATCAATTCTTTTTCTTTCTTAAAATTGTTACTCTGTATCATTTTTATGTATGTGGTCCAATTTTTACAAAACATATATCGTATTTAAAAATATTTTTCTATGATCTTTCTGATATCAATATTGTATATAAAAAATTAAAATTATACGGGGTACATGTTTTCTAAATATCTACTTTTAGCTAATTTCTTTATTTTTTTTCATATGCAATATTTTTATTATATGAAAAATCGTAAATAATGATAATTTTTTTAATAAAATTGGATTAAAATTAAAAAGTGAAAACATTTACAAAAGATAAAGAATTGACCTGCCACATGGCAGACAACTAGGGTGGGGTAATGTTCAGCTTCATTTGAGGGGTGAAGAAAATTGATTTCGCGGATAGCTTCAATCAAATTAGCTAGTACTACCTCCGTCCCAAATTGATTTGCAAATTTGACTTTTCTTGGTAAAACAGTTCCATTTTGTTCACTTAATTAGGATGACAATTTTTAATTATATTCTAATTTGGAGTTTACAATTTTGAAGAGATTTTGATGTAGTTTATGAATATGTAAATTTTAATTATTAAAAATTGAATTAATTATGTATAGGGAGGATTGACTTTTATTATTGGTTGACCAAAAAATGTTGAATTTGCAAAACAAATTAGGACGGAGGGGGTATGCATTATGTGTTTATGTAAAGTCATTATAACTCAATTTAAATAAAATTTATTTCCAAATACTTATAAAACAAATATAGTAAGCCAAAGCCACAATACACTAAAGCGTGTTAAAAATTAAATAAAATTATCTCAGCTTGAACAGTTAATTTATTTATATTAATATATGAATAAAAAATGCCCTAAATAGGAGTAAAAACGTTTGTAAATTCCAAAATATGACTATCATGTTTTTATTTGCTAAATAGATGTAATTACTGCCATGTTTTGGCATTATCGAGTTTTAAACATGACAATTGTCTCATATTTTGCAATGATTATTGTTATTTAAGAAATAGAAATATAATGTTCCTATTTTGGAATTCAAAAACGTTGTTATTCTTATTTCGGGAATTTCACTGAATGAATACATAAAACCTAAATATAAAAAACAATATCGGCAACTAACTATTCATCTAGCTCGAATTTAAATATTAATATATTCTAAGGTCAAAGAATTTATGATTCATTATACATACATATGTGCGATGCACGGGGTGGAAAAAACTGAATTCAAAACCGCAAACCGACTCTAATTAGGTCTGAAATTTCTTCCCGCTCTAGGCAATTTCTTTTTAGACGGCCTGAATAAAAACTACCGAACAGAACCCAAACACCCGGTCTCACTTGTGGTCTCTGAAATCCATAACCCGATAGCCTAATCAATATCCGAAACAATTGCCTTTAATATAAAACTAGAATTTCACCCCTGCGTTGCACGGGATGCAATTAACGAACACTATATTCCTTAAAATGATAAAGAAGTATAATCTGAAAGGTTGTACTTCACACATTTTGCTTAGATAACTATTAACTATCAATTTAACTTTCTAACTTTACTTCAACTCTTAATCAACTCTTAACTTTGCCATTTCATTTGTTGCTTATGGAGTATATGGAAAGCACGGAACGAGAAGGTTTTGGAAAATAAAGAGGTCAGATAGCGGCAGATTATAGAAGTGGGGGCAGCCATGCTCAGAAATCGGAGGGAAGCCAGAAGTCCCGGGTTAGTGCGCGATAGGGATGAGAGAAGTTCTATGTGGCAACGCCCGGTGGAAGGGGTGATTAAAATTAATGTTGATGCAACTCTTGATGTAAGGAAAGGTACGATACTCGTGCATGGGCATGGGTTGTCAGAGACGACATGGAGCAGTTTATCATGACAGGATGTCAGAAGACCCGTGCGGACTGGACGGACAGAGTGGAAGAGGCTATAGGAGTCAGAGAAACTTTATCCTGAGTCAAAGCACAACGGTGACCAAAAGCACAACTAGAAACTAATTCTTTGATGGTAGCCTAAGGAATCACGAACAAGGAGTGTGATTCTTACTTTGACTAGATCATCGATGATCAACATGAGACACAATCTTCAAATGAAGCTAGGATAGAAGTCACCTATTGTAGAAGGTCCGCGAATAATGTGGCTCACGCTCTAGCAAAGGCTGTGCTTTCTATGTCGGATACCTATTTATATTTTCCCTTTCCGCCATATTGCATTGTACTCCATTTGGAGAATGATATGTTGAAGTAATATATGATCTGTTTTCTACTTTTCTATATATAAAAAAGTCATTCAGTTGAGGATGGTAATCTATTTTTGCAACCTATTTCATCTAACCTCTATTCATGATGTATTTCAGCAAGCGAAAGAGAAGCCAAGTTTTGTTGTAGAGGCCAGTGTGCTTTGAGTGTTACTGAACATGTCTCTGTGTTAGGCCTTTGCTGCCATGGTCTCTAGGTAATAGTTTCAACATCAAGCATAAATGCATTCATATATTAAGATATATAAGAAATTTTTCTAAGTGAGGTAACCTCAAATAAATAATTAGAAATGTGCTAATTTTATTCAATTTTGTATCAACATTATGAATGCTTTACAAAAATAAAATCAAATATGTTTGCCAATATGAAGGAATTACACTTCACATATACTCCATATTAGTAAATACTACCCTATTTTATTACTCTGTGCTATTTATTTCAATTCATTGTGGAAGGGTTGATGATTGGATGGTATTTTTTTATCACATCTTAAGTATTTTGATCTACCTCATTTTGATGATAAATTTCTATATTTTGTTGTATACTCACAGATTTGTGCATTCACATTTTACTTCAATAGCTCACGTTTTATCAATGGAAAGTTTTCCCTTTTCGTGACCATCGGGGACTCTAGGTATGCATATGTAAGATTGTCTCCTCTTCTCTTTTTCTATTTGATCCATTCATTCAAAGATTTATTTATATTATTCTTTTTAATTGTTTTTCTATTATTGAGAAATGGTTTTAAAATATTATCACATGGAAAATCAATAGAAAACCATTTGTATGCACAATACATCTGACTATCTGAGTGTGTTTCTTCATGCCTCAATTGATGTTCTTGGAGTTTTTTTGGTATATTCATATCTTTCTTGACAATAAATCCATTCTTCATTAAAAATTGTTAATTATGTAGCCAAAACTCCAAAAGAAGGTAACCACTTTGGTAGATTATCATTGAAAGCTTGAAGAGAAAAAAGCTTGAACGTGAGGAAGAGAAGAGCGAGTGCAATTTTGTTCACCCCTTCAAGGAGGGTGAACATCACCCCCTTCCTTCCCTTTTTGCATTGTGGCATTCCATTTCCTATTTTTCTTTAAATTGTAATAACTTAGCTTGTTTACTTAAGGTCCAACTTTTATAAAAATATATTAGATTGCTAACTTTTTATGATCTATCCAATGATATCAATATTGTACATAAAAGTGGGAAAAAAAATCTTGTTTTCCTAAATATCTAGTTTTAGCTGGAATATTTTTTAAATTTTTCATATGCAATAGCGGTACCATTTGAAAGATCGTAAAAAATGAAAAAAAAAATTGATATAATTTTTTTAAAAAAATGAATTAAAATAAAAGGTTAAAACAATTACCAACTAATAAGGAGGTGTCATGCCACATGGCAAGCAACTAGGGAGGGGGGTGAACATCTCCTCTTTTGAGGCAACTTATGGAGTTGATATGAAGACTTCCCACCATTTATAGGGTAGATGATAGTGGACAATGAAGGGTTTAACATGAGTTGTCTCTTTCATGATGAATTGTTGACGTATGACAGAAGACTTCATACTAATTTAGTTTTTTTTGTTACTTCATATCCTTGATGTTCGCGGTTTTGAGCGGGAGAATATCACATAACAATTCTTTTGCTTTTAGATATTAAGAGATATGTGTGTTTATATAATGGGTGGGTGGGGTGAGTCAACTATCCTGGACCCACTCAATCATGTGCATGGAGCATACCGGACCCACCCCATTTGAAAGACGTGTTGGCCCGAGTTGAACCCGCCACAATTGTCTCGGGGTAGGGTGGGTCCTTGGGGCCTGGATTTTTTACATGCCTTCCAACTCTTGAGCAGTTGTATTAACTTAAAAATAGGCGTCCTATAAATTCATTAATCATGATTAAGGGATTACGTGATTGTGATTGATTCTACATTAAAAAGGGTTATTTTAAGTAATTTTAGAAAACATTTTAATAATAAAAGTTGGTAGTGTTTGAGAAAAAAAATACTTTTGAAAAAGTAAAAGTATGTAATGTTTAGAAAAATGTTTTTTATACGTAAGGACCTCCAAGTGTACAACTCCACCTTCCATAGCATCAACTATTGAGATCAAACTTTCAACATCACTTGCATCCTTAGGATTCTTCATCAAACTCATATTATTGTTAACCATATCTCCCACATCTTTTGCAGCCAAAGAAATAAGCCTTGGTATTAACCATATCCTCCACATCCTCAAGTTCGATACGTTGCATTTCCTTATGTTATTTGACTCTCTCGGGTAGGTTTTGGCCTAACCCCCCTACCTTGTATGCTTACATTTTTAATAAATAGGTAAAGTGTTTCCAGACCCTTAGCCCATTGAATGATGGTTTTACACTGGGCTAAAAAATAGTAAAAAAGTGTTTTTGTGATAGAAAAAGTGAAAAACACTTTAAAACATCCTTTCACTTGTTTCCAATTTTTAGCTTTTAAGTGTTTAAGTTTATACAGAATATGTCGCTTGAAAATACTTATTTCTACTTTTCTAAGCACAAAGCTGAAAAACATTTTTAAATTTTTTTTGCAAACACTCCCTAAATTAGCTTACTATTCACTCCACATTTATGACTGTGCGGTTTTTAGTGAGTTTAAATGAGAACGAAGTTTCTACATTTTACAGCATATCCCAACAGCTCGACGTCTTGTCGGCAATCTTTAAGACCTAAAACATCACAAAAATATTACTGAGCGGTTGTTACTATTTATTGCCTCAAATTTCACCCACGCCCCACGTTAGCCGCCGAAGTCTTGTATACATAAGGAGGTATGTTCGCTATGATGAACGTAAGTGACAACTGCCCAAGGACCAATGTTATACGTAATCAATAGTGTCTAGAAGTAACCTTCGATGAGACTAGGTGGCATTGTGTTGTTGTGTATTTGTTATGATTCCAGGGTGTTTAACCGAGATAACCAAAAGAAATAGGAATCCAATGAGTAATGAATTCGAACAAGAAGCTAAAGGAATTAGGAAAGAAGAAGAATGATCATATTCAACGTAAAAAATGTTTGTACATCCAGTGAGCTAACTATATACTATGTACATGAGAGTTGAACTAACAAACTAATGGTTACTAACTAATAACCACTTGGACATTGTTCAACTGCCAGCTTACTTCCGGGTCCACTACTGCTATTACTTTTCAGCTCATCATCAAGCCACGTAGCAGTATTCTTCCTAGGAGTTGATGTGTTCAAGTTCTAATATTGAGAGTTTTTTTCAAAACAAGTGTGAATAAAGGAGGAATTATGTAGTACTCCTTTCTTTATTTCCATTGAACTTTGCCAACTTTTCCTTTTTGGTTGTCCCAAAAACTTTGCACTTTCCTATTAAAGTAACTATTTTGTGATTCTGCTCATTTCTTTCTCCTCTGTACAAACTTCAATCACACAATTTTTACTATTATTAATTTTTTTCTAATTCAAAGAGTGCAAAGTCCATTGGGACGGAGGCAGTATTTGTCATCAAGTTGATTGATGATAGTGGCAATGAGATCTTCATCACAGAAGATACTTATAGCAGTAAGAGATTGTGAAGGTATATTACTAGATTAGCAAGATTATGAGCTTCATGAAAGTACTCTTTAAGTGTCCCCTAGAGTCATTCAAATTGACTGATTAATATACATAGTATATCATAAATACACACAATAATAGGGTATGCTAGTATTGTTAGATGTAATGTGTTTCAACACATCGCGGGATCTAATAGCATGAGAGATGGCTTGTAGGGTGACATCTGAGCATGTGTCTCGCATAGTGCTCATGATAGTTTAATCTTGTCGATGCCGAATGTTGTGAAATGATTGATAATGAAATTACCATCATCTATTTGTTATGGCTGCAAATTGAATTGTTGAGATATGGCTTGACAAATCAAGATTAATGGCTTTGATTTGTTGAATTTTGTTCTCTCCAAACACATTAGTTGGAGACTATACAATGCTATTGAGGAGTAGATGGTGGTTGTGATATAAATAACATTATTCTCACTCGGGAAGTGGTTCACTCCTTGGAGTCCAAGAGGGGTAGAAAAGGGATTTTCTACCCCAAATAACATGATTTTGAAACTTGATCTTCAAAAAGCATATGACTGTCTAAGTTGGGATTTTCTGGAAGATACTTTAATTGATTTTGGATTCCCACTAGAGTTTAACAGGCTGGTCATGAACTCTATTAGAGAAATGAGAAATGGTATAATATGGAATGGTGATACTCTGGAAGATATTCAGCCTAGGAGGGGGCTCAGGCAAGGAGATCCCTTATCTCCATATTTGTTCATTCTAACAATGGAGAAGCTTTCACATTATTACTAAGGAGGTTGAAGAAAAGAGATGAGAACCAGTGGTGGTGGGTAAGCCAGGGGCAGTTTATCTCATCTTTTCTTCGCTGATGACTTAATGTTATTTGGGGTTGCTTCTAGTAGACAAACAGAGGACATGATGCGTATTATGGAAAAAAATTCAAACATATCCGGGCTGAAAACTAACAAGGAAAAGTCAAAGGTTTATTTTTCTCTAAATCTTGATGGTAATTTGAAGACTAGCCTTCAAACTCTTACTGGTATTCAGTATACTTCAGATATTGGTAAGTATTTGGAGGCTCCTATTATACATGTGCGGAAATCGAAGGAAAAAATTGCTTTTGTGCTCGATCGTATGAGACAAAAATTAGCTTCCTGGAAGAAGAAATCCTTGAGCTTGACAGGCTGGAAAACTTTGATTCAATTTGTTATGCAAGCGGTTCCGCAATATGTTATGCAAAGTTCTTTGCTACCGCTTAGCATATGTGAAACCATTGTTCTAAAAATCGTTCTAGGGGCCCGACTAGTCCCCGTCTAGGCGCTAGGCGGTGGTCGGGCGCCCCGATTTTCGTCTAGGCGTCCCGATTAATTGATTTTCCAAATAAGTGACTTAATTGGCCACCTATGATGCCTAGTTGCCCGCCCAGAGCGCCTAATCGGCCGCCTAGGGCATCTAGATTCATCAAACGTTACTTTACCGTTTATTTTTTTTTCCCTAAGTGATATATGCACCTTTTACTTTAACCACAGATATAATGAAATGTAGTTGTAAATTAAGATAAAATCTATATATCTTTGTATATATACTCAAATTTTATTATTATTTAATATTTATAGCATATCGAAGTTAAGTGATTAGTTATCATATACTCCCTCCGTCTCTTAAAACTTTGCCAAGTTTGACCGGTACGGGGATTAATAAAGTAAAAACTGTGTGGTTGAGGTTTGTGCAGAGGAGAGAGAAATAATTGGTACCACAAATTCTTTACTTAAAAGGGAAAGTGGCCAAGTTAGTGGGACATCCAAAAAAGGAAAGTGGGCAAAGTTTTAAGGGACGGAGAGAGTACTACATATGTAGTATTAAATGTGTGTGTGTGTGTATTATTTATACACACAAATACAATAGTACTTACAACGCCTGAAGACAAGTTTGACAGAAACCAACGCCTCAAGACAATAGTACTGAATTCTATCATTCATTTTTGTTAATGTATGTGTGTATATATTATTTATACACACAAATACAATAGTACTTACCATATTTGTGCAAAAATATTGATAAAAATACAATTTCTATGTCTCCGATTAGTCCCCGATTAGGCGCCCGCCTAGCCGCTAGGCGTTAGGCTGGAGCCCGACTAGCGCCTAGCGCCTTTTATAACATTGGGTGAAACCATAGATCAAGTTAGTAGAAATTTTCTATGGGGCAGCTGGGGAGGTGCTAGTAAAGTCCATCTTGTCAGTTGGGAGGAGGTTTGCTTACCTAAAGATTGGGTGGTCTGGGGCTTCATAAAGCTCGTCTGAGTAATATGGCTTTTATATCTAAGCTAGGTTGGGATATCATGATGGATTCTCAGAACTTGTGGGTGCAAGTCATGAAAGCAAAGTATCTCAAACAAATGTCTTTTTCGAAGTATAAAAGAAGCCAGGTACATCACATATATGGCGAGACATTCTTAAAAGTAAGAGCATTCTTATTTCTGGGATGGGATGTAAGGTGGGAAATGGGGAAGATATCTCGTTCTGGTTTGACCATTGGGTAGGTGATGGACCACTATACGAGGACATTGGTTCACCACTTCCGACAACTGCTAGCCACCTCAAAGTTGCTTATTTCATAATGAACAATGGCGGCTGGAATGTTGACAAATTCATAAATTTACTTCCAGAGGATGTGAGGGTCATGCCAATTCCAATGGCGTAAGAGCGCAAAGATGGCGTATACTGGAGACTTTCAAAAACAGGTGATTTCTCTATCAAATCAACTTATGAATCATTACTTGTGGTGCAGGAAAATAAGGAGTGGAGATGGATTTGGAAGATTTAGGTGGCAGGAAGGGTGAGATGCTTTTTGTGGCTGGTGATGAAAAATAAATTGCTTACGAATGTGGAAAGGAAGAAGAGACATATCATGGAGGATGCAAGTTGTCCGATATGTCATAATGCGGAAGAAACAATGATTCACACTCTTAGAGATTGTTCTTTCATGGCTGCAGTTTGGAGGGAAATTGGACTACAGACAAATAAAATGGGTGAGGATATCTTTAATAGTTTTGATTGGATCTACAACCAATGTCATAGCTTTAGAGGTGCTTCGAGCAGATCTCAGCAAATTTCTACATTTGCTTATACGATTTGGTTGATCTGGAAGACACGTGATGCGTGAATATTTTAGGGTATTCAACCTTATGTGCAGCGTATTGTGAAGAATGTTAAACTATTAGTTGAAGAGTATATACATGTTTGCTCTTGGAAGCTAATGGAACAACGAAGAGTAGCTAAAATTATTAGATGGATTCCGCCAGAAACAGGTTATTTAAAACTTAACTGTGATGGTTCTTGTCGGGATAGGGATAAAGTGACCGGAGCTGGTGGTTTAATACGAAACCATAAAGGGGAATGGATGAGTGGTTTTATGCTTAATATCGGAAAAATTGATAGCTTTAAGGCAAAAGTTATGGGGCCTTAGACATGGACTATTGCTAGCCCGGGAACTAGATCTCAAGAAGGTTATTGGTGAAACGGATTCAGAACGTATTATTCAGGTTATCAAGATTAAAGATGGGTTGAATGCTCATAGTATGGGAGTTCTTGTGCGGGATTGTCAGAAACTCTTGGATGATGAGAGATTTATTAATGTACAACATACGTTTCGAGAAGGGAATAAATGTGCAGATATTTTGGCGAATGCTTCGCATGAAGCGTCAGAAAGTCTGATCATTTTTCAAGAGGCTCCTACTTGGATGACACGCTCTCTCTGGGAGGATGCAAATGGAGTAGACTATTAGAGTCTAATTTTTATTCTTTTCTTTTCCGATGTATAAAAAAAAGATGGTGGTTGTGATGAAAACTTCCATACACAGTGCAATGATCTTGACAATGGGTGAGATATAGGGAATAAACATAGAAGGTTGTTAAAGTTAGACTCTAGCAACCATATGAAATTATACTTGGTAGAGATTATATGTATTTGGCTTTATGGTAAACTATTCTAATACAAGTACCAAAGCATATATACCATAATCAGAGATGGAGTCAAAACGGGGTCAAAGTGATCGGTTCATCCACCAAAAGTTCGAGTATAAAGACCAATAGAATACCTTGAATTATATTTGATATATTGTGACTCTTATAACTTATTACGACTCAAAAATCACGACTCCTAAAAATCGACATCATCTAAATTGAAATGGGCAAAATAAGAAGGAAAAAAATTCAAAGGATATGTATAATTAGTAAAGAAGGGGAAGAACTAAAATAGTTCTAATTAGGAAAATTCAATCATAAAAATAGCTTCATTTTGATTGGTGAACAATTCATCACATCAAAAATTAGCTCATAAGTCGGGGTACCAAAAGCTGTAGTTAATGATTTTTAGCCAATTTGTGTTTTAAGGCATTGTGGATGTTGCAATTTAGTACAAAACATAAACTACTCATGATAACTAAGAAATTTAATTACCAAATGATACCCCACAATATCCTACATAATAGAAGTGGTTGATAAATAAATACACATATATATAAAGCCCAAATGTTCCCTTGCACACAAACAATCACACCATTGTGGTCAGTTGACATGATGACAGTTGTGTCTGATTTCACCCTTGGGACCAATGAGAGGATTGATGTTTCCCATTTTACCCATAGAATTGGCAAAGTGGTGGAAGAATAGTGCCTCATCATTGGCATAGGCTTTGACCAAGTCAACTGACTTCTTCACATTTCCAGTAAGAAGGGCTTCATCAGAGATGAGAAGACCTTTGCGTGAAAGCAGCAGTTGGAAGTAGGAGTTATCAAACTTGAGAGGAGAGGTGACATCCAGTGGAGAAATGTTGTTATCCCCACCAGTTCTAGGGCATGATACTTTCAGGTTGTTGTAATATGTCTTCTCAAGAGTTGGATCTGATTGCTTATCACCATTTTGGTTGTACAGCCGTTGCCTGAAAGTAACACATCTTGCCACTCCGATGGTGTGCCCGCCTGCATTACACCAGAAATGGATTCAAAAACATACACGGAAAAAATCCCGAAACAGGAGTAAACACGACACGAAATTCCCGAATCAGGAGAAAAGAATTTGAAATTCCGAAAAAGGAAAACTATGTTTTTTTCTCTTAAATAGGATTATGTTACTGTCATCTTGAAAATTTACTAACATTTTTACATTATCAAGCTTTAAACATGACAGTATACTATAAAATGATATGTAGTAGTGATTTATTAATCCTTATGCAAACCCCAAGAGTGATAAAGAGAAATTTTGCAGGGACTGGGATGAGATAAAATTGGTACCAGAAAGAGCCACAAGATCTTGTTCGTTAAGGCCTTGGCGGTTGAAGAGTGTTACAAGGTTTTGGATGGTGGAATTTGGCGCGGGAATATTAGCAGTAGCTTTCTGGAAGCTTGCTGTCTTTGAGTCCCTCCTTCCTAAAGGCACTTCCCAATAAGGTCCCCCACTCTGTGGGTAAACAGCCATACAACAATGAAAGTGAAGCTCTTTAATTAGGATCATAATTAATCAACATAAAATTTGGATGGTTTGGGTCAGTTTGGATAGCACATCCCTTATACTCCCTCGTCCCGAAAAGGTTCACCAAATTGACTTTTCTTGGTCAATGTCAATTAACATTGACTAATGATATTTCTTAATACAAAATTATTTAGAATATGAAAATTATATCAAAATGTTCCTCATTCAAAATATTTTCTTAACAGTATGAAATTTAGAAATTATATACAAATATAATAATTAAAATCATCGTTCAAAGTTTGACATCATTGATCAAGAAAAATCAATATGACGAACTTTTTCGAGACAGAGGTAGTAAGTATAACACAAACTACATGTGTAAATAAGATTACATGTTAAAATCAAACAACGCTGACAGAGTTGTCTGAGCCACCGATACATTTGGTCAGTTTTGTAATACAAATCAGCAGTGATAACTACAAAAAAAATGGCTGTGATAACAACAATCTTTTTCTCTAAATTTTGTCGGTATCACAGACAATTTGACTTAAACCGACCAATATTATCCGTGACACATACAATTTGGACGTGTGCACATGGGTATGTACAACAAGATTTTTTCAAAATCAATTGCTATATAATAGAACAACATCATACACTCTGGAAGGTTTGGTTACTTTAATTTGGCAAAAATGAAAAATTATATTGATATACTCCCTCCGTTCCTTCATGAAATTTACACTTTGACTTCACACATATTAAGAAAATAAATCTGACTTTACCGTAGAGTACACTGTTTGGCACTGTTTTGCACTGTTTGGTGTAGATTTGTTTTCCAAATAAGGCAAATAAGGAAGTGTAAAGTTTAATATGGAACGGCCCCAAAAGGAAAGTGTAAAGTTAATTAAAGACCGGATGGAGTACATTCTTTAACGAAATACGGAGTATATTACTACGCAGTATATTACCCTACTCCTAGGTAAAGACGATTTTTACTTTGTATACTTACTGTCCATTTTTAAGTAGTACGGAGTATTATTTACAACAGTGTTGTTACAAAACATGTAATCGATGATCATTTCAACAACATATATATTTTGATAGTAATTGTTCAAAAGTAGTTTCATGTTATAATTCAATATTTATAATAAAATATAAGTAACAGTTAATGTTAACAAACTAGGATGTTCACCAATATATTAAAGAAGTAGAGCTTATGAACAAAAATATAAATATATTGATATCATGTAGTAAGCTGATACTGATAACATGTAGGACTTTTATTATGAGTATACTGTGTACTGATCAAGTTCAGTAAATCTGAACATAATCATGCTCCATAGAATGAAAATCACATTTCTCAAATGTATTCTAGTCATTATATCCAAAGGTAAATTGGGAAAAAGAAAATCAGTCCTTTTCTTCTGTACCCTCCATGGCCTCCAAGAAACCCCAACCATAACACAAGTATAATGTTTGAACTAAAGTTTATAATTTCTTACAATAAGAGTGGAATCCCGGGCAACAAGAGCAAGAATGTCTGCACAAGAAACTGTGCGAGGACACACTTGCTCCAGCTTAGCTTTGATCTCATCAATCACTTCAAATCCTCTAATGGAGTTCTTGTTAGGTGCTGCATCTTTCTCGCTAGCCATCGTCGACGTCTTGTCGAGCAATATCGATGCATCACACCCCTAGTTCCCACCAAAAGAGAAAATCATTCGCTTTCATAAACGCCGAATAACATGCAACAGAGGTGAAGTAGTTTGTACCTGGACAAAGCAATCATGGAAGTGAAGCCTGAGCAAAGAGGCAGCCATCCTCGGGTCTTCGATAACCACTCTCTCTAAGACATACATGACAATGTGGTTAACTTGCGGGCACGAGAAGTCGTAGAAGAATGGAGAAAGACCGGGATGTGCAAGGGAGGAAACAGCCATCATCATTGCAATGAGGTTGCTATAGTAGAAACCTTTCAGAAGGGTGGCCATTGTTGAAAGCTTAGCTAGGCTAGCTGGAATGCTTCAGATATAACTAAGCTTTTCTTTTTTGTGGGTGGTGGATTGTTTAATGTGTGTATATGTGTTTATATAACCACTCTTTTACCAAACCCTCTACTTGTTTGTGCACCTTTTTAGTCATTGTTTGTTTTGAATCAAGAGTGCTCCAGCTCCACCTGCCCCATAAACTCTTAAAAGGGGAATGTTGTGATCTCAGACAGTTTGAACAATGGGAAAAGTTATTTGTAATTTTTTAATGATTAAAAAACACCAAGAGAAGCTATTAGTAATATTTTTCTTTTTTGTTCTTGTCCCACCTGAAGGTGTGGCAACTGGCTAGTCAGTATGGGAGGATTTGTTGTTGTTGATATTCCAATTCCATTTTGTTGTGTCTTGCTTGGTGCTACTATGGGCATATGTCATCAAGGAAGGAGTTTTCTTATTCCTCTTTCTTCACATCTGGCCCCAAATTATTTAGTTTTCATTTGTCATGTTTTATTCACATGATCATACACATGTAACTAGATTTCATTTCCAAATTAGTGTCTTGACTAATTGATTATTGTATTTTTTATTTTTAATGTAGTTATTTGCTTGCCGAAAATTTCATCCATTTATTTTATCATTCTTTGCTTTTAAGTTATTTTATTTGTATTACATTCTGCATATTTCATACTCCTAGTCTTCCTAGATTTTTCTTTATTTACAGTTTACCGTTCAATATAGATTATCTAACCCTACTTAACTACTTTTATTAATGATCGCATCAGTACCCCTCAGATCCCAACGTAGGTAGACTTGTATCAATAATACTTTCTTATTGAAAGTGACATTTTTTTATCAATTTCATAAATGAGTATATTGTATAACAATGCTAAGTGTACACATTATTTTTACACGCTTCACACATTTGTCTATATAAGTATATAACAATCATTTAATATAAAATTATAGATAATTTCTACATTTAGATGAATTGACCGTGAATCCGTGATAAAGACACTAAAACGTGTATGCCAACGAATCAAAGATATAGAGAAAATGTACAAGGCATATAATTGATACTTTGGAGTTCGGAAGCTAAATTAACTTTACAAGTAATTCTAATGTCTAGATTAATCTTATAATCATGCAAAAAATACTTTAATATATGCATCTAGATTCATTAGGTTCACTCAAAGTCTACTAAACATAGGCTTAATTAAATTCACCATATATAATCAAGTCAACGGATTGTGTTTAAAAAAAGCCACTTGACCAACTCAAACAGATAAAGTATACACGCGTAAATTGATATCTGCAAAACAGATAAATTATCACACTTTGACCGGATCTAAGAAGACACTGCCATTTATATGCACAACCTTCAGGGATACTCGTTCCTGTTTTATGTACACAAACTTTGTTTTGTGAAAACAGAATCAGAAACATGACGCCGGGAAGATATTATGACACACGCATATGCCTCATTGGGGTGAGAATCCTTGCCAAACGGAGGGGCACATACCCTCTCACCACGGTTCCACTTCCAGTGTACTCCTATAACAAGAAAAAGACCAGTTCAAGGTCAGATATTCAATTTATCAGTTGTCTGACTTTTTCCCTGGCAAATTAGATGAAAACATTGCCGCAGTTGATCATATTGGATTCTCTCTTGGAATAAGTAGATCTGTTGAAGGTTTAATCCCGTAGATCCGAAAGCCCAACACAAACTTTGGATCTATTAGGAAATGGACGATAATTCAGTGTATAAAAGAAATATAAAAGATGACTATTACACTGTAAACTACCCGAACGGTATGTCGGAATAGTAACTAATACAAGAAATCAGAGAGATGATGCTATTTAAGGCTTGAGTATCGAAATGCTAACCCTTTACAATGAAACTAATTCTTCTATTTATACTAATGGGGGGTATGGGGTACTTCATATTGATTGGTTGCTTTATCTAGCCACTTGGAACTCATGCTCCCACTAGCTGCCGTAATACTTTATCAATAAATGCCCCTTGCCACTTGTTGGCCACCCGGTGCCCGAACGGGCAGTGAATCCTGCTGGAATCATTATTGGTCTGGCCCGAGTTCGCTGATTAGTTCGATCCCCGTTCGGTACATCTGATCTGGAGTCATTATTGATCTGGCCCATTAATGATTTGGCCCAAGTATGTTAAATGATCCGAACCTCGTTCGGTACATATTTTCCCAAGAGCTGGTTCATTTTCTGGATGATGGGCCCGCCTAACGAAATAGATATTTTGGGCCTTAGATCCGGGTATTGGGCCTGCGGCCCAATATCCCAACACGAGTCCCCCACTTCCGATGTCTCGAACGGTAGTGAGTGCATTGGGAAGTAGAAGTTACATGCCGAATTGTGATCGGGATCCAGAGTTTGCTGATTCCCCATGCCACGATTAGTACCCTTTCTGCGGCTGTCGTTTGATTTTTTCCATAATCGTCATGATTACTGGTCTTTGCCTCCCCATGCGACATGTGTCCCTTCAAATGATCTCGGTGACGTGTCGCAAACTGATTGGTTTATGATTCGACGCCTGTCAGGTTATAAATGGGCCTTCAAATCCTTGGTTAGGGGTTTTGAATTCCAATCTTTCGTGCTTCAGCTCTGGCTTCTCTCCAATCCTTCCCCAAATCTTTCGTGTTCAGGTATTCTTCATCCCTTCGAATTAGCCTTCTTTTTCTTCAGTCTGGTCGGCATGCGACCTCAATCGCATCCTTCTACTTCGGAAATGGCTTCCCAAGGGGATGACCATGACGCCGCCGTCGTGGATGTTATAAACGTCCCGTTTGCCAGTGGCTCAAACGAAGCGACGGCAGAGACCAGGGTGGAGGCGGAGGAATCTTCCGCGAGCTCTTCTACTGATGAGGATTCCGATGACACGAAATCCGGTGATGAACTTATCTCAATGGTGGCCGGCCTCCCGGGCGACGTTCCTCGTCATAAAGTGGACCCGAGGCTAATTAGGGAAAGGAGGCAAAAATTGACCTCCCATAATAGGGCCCAAATCCCAGCCCTAATTCCGGACCCGGTGGATTTTCGTCTTCGGGCTGGGCTTCCTGGGATGGTGGTAGTCCATTTCGACTCGGTGAAAGCCGGGCTTAGATTTCCATTACACCCCTTCTTCGTTTCTTTCCTAAACTTCTACGAGATTGTACCGGCCCAAGTTATGCCGAACTCCTATCGGGTAATAGCGGGCTTCATTTACCGTTGTAAAGACGCAGACGTTACCCCCTCCCTAGAATTGTTCCATCAATTCTTCAAGGTGACTCCCCAACAGACACATGGTTATCTGGCGGCAACTGCCCGATCGGGTCATATCCTTTTTAAGGGTAACCCTACTTCGATCGAGGGATGGAAAGACCGGTTCTTTTTCGTCTCTATCCCGGACGGCCTGATCCCGAACAAATGGAATGCCTTTCCCCGAAAGACTCCCGATCCGCTCTTTTCTGAACAAATCTACAAGGATGTCTTTGCTATAGAGAAAGACAAATGTTGTGATATCATGGGATATCTGACCCCCGACCAACTAATCAAGGTCGGGACAGGTACTGCCCGCTCTCTTGGGTCTACTTTTTTAAGAACTAAGTATCGTGGGTCGGGCGGTCCTTCCCGTGCGAGAAACGTTCCCTTTCCATTTTTGTTTCCCACGTGGTAAGGCCGCTCAGTACTAACACTTTCCTTTTTTTATTTTTCAGCTCCTAATCCAGACGCACTAATGGACATTAGCTGTGTTCTAGCAGCCGGTGGGGTCAGGAAACGGAAGAAAGCAAGGAAGAATCCCCAACCCAATCCTTCCAACACCATTGCTCAAGATGCCGGGTCTTCTCAACCCGTTCAGGAGCCACAGCTGCTTCAACAGGTCCCTCATCAGGATCAAATTGACGCCATGCTGATCGACGATCGGTTCGGATCTGATCAGCTGCATCAATTCTCTAAGCATTTCCAGGCTGCTCAGGAGACTAACATGACTGCAGGTGAGACCAACACCGTCCACCTTTCTACGCAGGTCGAACGGATCTCTCTGACAGATCCAGTTCATGAAATGTTGGAGAAGGCTGGTTCTCCTGCAAGCCAGATTTGGTCCACTTCTTCGTGGTTCAACAATTTTGCCATTCCTAAGATGTCGGTCACCTTCGGTGCTTATCTCGATCGATTCTCCACGGGTGATGCTCGCCGCAGCGAGGGGGTCAAGCCTAGAATAGCATTATCTCTCTGATTTCTTGTACTAGTTACTATTCCGACATACTGTTCGGGTAGTTTACAGTGTAATAGTCAAATTACTTAATACAAGTGGGTTTTGAGTGTTCGTTGAGATCATCTTTTATATTTCTTTTATACACTGAATTATCGTCCATTTCCTAATAGATCCAATGTTTGTGTTGGGCTTTCGGATCTACGGGATTAAACCTCAACAAGATCTATATGTCATCTAGACTTTGTAACAACAAAAATGTGCTCATTTTTCTAAACTGCAAAGACCAATGAACTCAATATTCTTCTCCCTAAACTGACAATAACCTAAAAATTGTAAATGACATAATAAACTGACAATGACATGCGTAAATTTTCAGTTTTCTTACCTTGTAAGTCACTTTTTTGTCCATGTATGAATGTAGTCACATTTTTTTACTTGAGTTTCAATACATGAATATCTGGGATGGTTGAGTATTACTATCTCCGTCCCGCTTAAAGGTTCCCATTACAAAATGACATGGTTATTTAGACAATAATTAAATAAGGTAATTTGATTATATTTTGAGAAAAAAAAGGTGAGTATATAATATAATGGGATCATTGATGATAACTGTGATATTATAGATTTTTTATTTTTAATATTTGATCATTAAATTGTCATTTAAGTGTTAATTGTTTCCTAAAATAGAAATAAGAATCTTTATATGAGATGTCCAAAAAAGGAAAGTGGGAACTTTAAAATGGGACGGGGGAGTAAATTCCAGGGAACCAGTTTAGGTGATTCCTTACCCCATCACTCTGTAAATATAACAATTTTTTGTTTCAAGTCCCCATAAATTTTCTCATTTTTTGTTATTCATCATTCTATTAATCCTCTCCATTTCCCTCCATTCAAAAGAACATATACAGAGTATGAACTATAGAACTCAAGCCTGGCCTTTTAAAGTCAATTTGCTACACTTATTCAGTGATAACTAGATGAGTTAGGGCTAAGCAAAACTCCGTTCCCAAATGTACTTTTCTCTGAAAAATAAAAATGAAACATTAAACATGTTTCCAAAATAATGGACGTAAAAAATTCAATACAGATTAAATGGGAGTATTGTTCAAGGACCTGGAACATAAATCGCACGGAGGAAGAAGCTATTTAACCCAAAAGAAAATTGCACAAATGCAAAATTGCTTACGGTTCTGTCAACCATTCCAACTTGATGTATGGTACTGAGGAGTTCCCCTTTGTCAAAAGGTACCAAAGCTTCAACCCAGACCATAGTATCCTGTCAAAACAAAACAACCCTCAGCAAACAACAATAACAATGATAAACTAGAAAATATCCCCCCCCCATGAATAGATACGAAAGTGTTCCCATCATTTGAAATGGAGCCAAAGGTTCACTATTCTTTGGCTTGAGAATATGATGGAATAAAGCAAAATGGCTCACTAAACTGTCTGCGCTTCTTTGTTATGAAGCAGCAGTCAGCCCATGCAAGTTTCGACGCGATTTTCACTTGGGTAAGGTTGCGTACATCCGACCCCCCTTACCCCACCGTAGGTGGGGAGCCTTTGCGGCACAGGGGTGATGATGATGATGATAGATATATAGATAGATAGGAAAGTAAAATGGTTATTATTCACCTTCAGCCTATCCTGAATAGCATTACAAAACTCATCTAACCCTTCACCGGTAAAAGCGGATATACAAATAGCATTTTTTCTCTTGGCTTCCAACTTGATCTTTTCTGGATCTGAAACTCTATCAACCTGTTGAGCAGAAGCTTCCATTGATCATTCTATGATTTGGATTGAAGTAAGATAAAGGCATGCATACATTACAAGTTTCAGTGGTTTTATTAAACTAGGGTCCAAACAAAGGATCGATAATATGTTTCAATGATAGACATGGAGTAAAGCATGCGATCCAGTTTTACAAGAAAGTATATAAAAGGAGGAAGAATAGGGCAGTTAATAATAATGATTAACTGACTAGTCTGTAAGTTAGTTAGTAAGGTCCCTGCGTGGACTGTTACTATAAATAGAAGTGGAATAAGCTAGCTAGAAGGATCTGTCATTTTGGCTAGAACTGGGCTAGGAGATTGGGCATCTCGAATTGTCTACAGCTTGTATATCTTTGTTGAGTTGAATACAGTGTGATCTGTGTGTTCTTCGATTGTGTGTGTGAGTTTTGAACCAGTAATATCAGTGTTCTATCATTGGTATCAGAGCATTACGCTCTTGGTGATTACGGAATTGATCGGAGTAGTCGGAAATCCAGAAATTTGTTCGTCGTTTGAAGGTGGATGGTTAAAACGAGAGGTAAAATGGATCATCGTATGGAGTCGTTGGAGCGAAACCAGCAGGAGATGCATTCAGCGCTGGATGCTCTCACAGCTAAAATAGATGCCATGGCGGAACAGTTTCAGAGCAGAGGACGATCGTGAACACCTCCACAACATCACACGAGGACTTCGCGCAGTCCGATAGCTTCCAGAGGTAACTCTGTTCATTCTCAGATTCATAATGCTAGACGAAGTGAGGAAAATAGTAGAGTTCCTGGCCGAAAGGTAGACTTACCTTTATTCAATGGTGAGGGAGCCTACAATTGGATTGTACTCATGGAGAGGTACTTCCGCTTAAATCATATTGAAGAAGGAGAAAAAGTGGAAGCCTCCATGGTTGCGATGGAGGATAGGGCTCTGAATTGGTTCCATGTGTGGGAAAATCAAACTGAAGAAACAACCTGGGAAGCTTTGAAGAAATCGGTTATTCGTAGGTTTCAACCAAAGTTAATTCAAATTCCGTATGGACCGCTGTTAAGTTTGAAGCAAACTGGAACTGTGAAGGATTACAGAGAGGAATTTGAAATGGTGATGGCTTCGCATCTGACTCTGGACAGGGAATTATTGCGAGGAGTTTTCATGACAGGTTTGAAGGATGAAATCAAATCGGAGTTGAAATTGTTTGCATCCAGGTCTCTGACAGAGATTATGGATAAGGCTGTGCTTATTGAACAGAAGAATGAAGCACTCTATTTGAAAAGGGAGGAAGACAAGTTGATTGGGAAAGACAAGGGTGCTGCACCAGTTAAACCTCAGACTTGGGGAAATGGTTTTAAGGCAAAATCTAGTAGTCCTTGGTCATTTCAGAATAAGTTGTTTACAGAACACAGGAACAACAATTCTGGGAGTGATAAGGGAGGAAACAAGTTTCCTGCAGCTCAACCTTCTGGAATTAGAAGGGTAGAACCTCAGTTGTCTCAAGATGAGTTCCAGGAAAGGAGTAGAAAAGGATTATGCTTCAAATGTGGGGACAAGTGGAGTAAGGAGCATACCTGTAAGCTAAAGAACTACAAGTTGATGCTTATTGAAGATTCAGATGGGGAAGAGGTACCAGATGAGGGCAGTCCCATGGTTACAGAACCTGAGAAGGCAGTTGAAATGGAATCTAAATCAATGCAGTTGTCTCTCATGAGCAGGGAGGGGATACCTACCATGAGAGCTTTCAAGGTGATGGGAACTGTAAAAGGGGAAAAAAGAGATCAGTTGGTAGAGGTGCTAATTGATAGTGGGGCACACATAATTTCATCTCTCAAAGACTGGTAGAACAACTGGGATTACCTTTTAAAACCATACCTAGTTACAAGGTTCAAATTGATAATGGAGAAAAGGTAGTTAACAATGGAAGATGTGAGAAGTTGATGTTGAGATTGCAAGGTACAGATCTTAAACAGGATTTTTATATCCTTAGTTTGGGAGGCACAGATGTTGTATTGGGAATGGAGTGGCTGACTAGCCTGGGGGATGTTGAAATTAACTTCCAGAAACAAACTATCAAGTGGCAGCAGTTAGGACAAAGTCTATCTATTCAAGGAGATCCAAAATTGAACTCCATGGAAGTCTCCTTGAAAACTATGTCACAAATCTTACAAGATAATGGGGATGGTTATTTTGTTTATTGTGAAGGGAGTACACTGAACATGAAGAATTGTGGGGAGATGGAACCTATGTGGGAGCAGATTTTGGCAGAATTCCCTGAAGTTTATCAACCTTTGGAAGGGCTATCACCTATCAGAAGTTGTGATCATTCCATAACCATTCAAGAAGGAGCTAATACACCTAATATTAGACCTTACAGATATCCTCACTATCAGAAGACTGAAATTGAAAGGATTGTGAAGGAAATGTTAGATTCTGGGATAATTCAAAACAACACTAGTCCATACAGCAGTCCAATACTTCTACCCAAAAAGAAAGATGGTGGGTGGAGGTTCTGTGGAGATTACAGGGCCCTAAACAAGATTACAGTTCCAGATAAATATCTTATTCCTGTCATTGAGGAACTACTGGATGAGCTTGGGGAAGCCAAATATTTTTCTAAACTGGATTTGAAATCTGGATACCACCAGATTCGAATGAAGGAGGAGGACAGGAAGAAGACAGCTTTCAGAACGCATGAAGGACATTATGAATATTTGGTGATGCCCTTTGGCTTGACAAATGCACCTTCCACATTCCAAGCTCTCATGAATCAGGTTTTAAGGCCATATTTGAGGAAGTGTGCATTGGTATTTTTTGATGACATCTTGGTTTATAGTAGATCTATAGAAGAGTACAAAGAACATTTAAGAGCAGTTTTATCTGCTTTAAGGGATAATCAGCTTGTGATTAACCTAAAGAAATGTTCCTTTGGGCAGCTTCAACTGATTTACTTAGGGCACATAATCTCCGGAGAAGGAATAAGAGCTGATCCTACCAAGATTGAAACAATGGTTATCTGGCCAGCACCTAAGAATCTGAAGGAGTTGAGAGGTTTCTTAGGGCTGACAGGTTATTATAGGAGGTTTGTTAAGGGGTACAGTAAGATTGCCTTGCCTCTTACACAACTTCTAAAGAAGGATTGTTTTCAATGGGATGAAAAGACTTTACAAGCTTTTCTTCTTTACAATGGCAACACCTAATTTCAATAAAACATTTACTTTGGAAATTGATGCTTCTGGAAGTGGGTTGGGAGCAGTTCTAATGCAAGAAGGGAAGCCAATAGCCTTTATGAGCAAAGCTTTATCAAAGAGGAACCAAAACAGATCTGTGTATGAGAGAGAGCTTCTAGCCATTGTTCTGGCAGTGCAGAAATGGAGGCCCTATTTGTTGGGTGGATCATTTGAGATCCTGACTGATCAGAAAAGTTTAAAATTTCTAACTGAGCAAAGGCTAATGGGAGAAGAGCAGCAAAAATGGACTTCAAAATTATTGGGGTATAATTTCACTCAGATTTAGACCTGGAATTGAAAACAGGGCTGCTGATGCTTTGTCCAGGAGACCTATACTCCAATCATTATCCATTGTGACATGCCAGGAATGGGAAGGCTTGGCGGAAGAATTGGAATCAGATCCTAAGTGTATAGAGTGGATTCAGAAGGTGATTTCACATCCAGGCCTGCACACTGAATTTCATATGAGGAAAGGATTACTTTACTACAACAACAGGCTGATCTTACCACAAGGATCCCCCAGAATAATCAAACTACTGAAGGAGTATCATGAATCTGCAGTTGGAGGACATTCTGGGTATTTTAGAACCATGAAAAGGATTTCTAATTTTTTCTTCCGGCAGGGAATGAGAAAAGATATTAAGAAATTTGTGGAAGAATGTGAGATTTGTCAGACAAATAAGTATCAGGCTCTCAAACCAGCAGGGTTGTTACAACCCTTACCAATTCCTAATAGCATTTGGACTGACATAAGTATGGATTTTATTGGTGGATTGCCTAAGTCAAAAAGGAAAGATATTATTTTGGTCATTGTGGACAGACTGACCAAGTATGCTCATTTTGTGGCTCTATCACATCCCTTCAATGCTAAGGAGGTGGCAGATGTATTCATCAAGGAGGTTGTCAGAGTGCATGGTTTTCCTAAAACCATAGTTAGTGACAGAGACAATGTATTCCTAAGTGCATTCTGGTCGTTGGCTGGGACTCAGTTGAAATACAGTACTGCTTACCATCCTCAGACTGATGGCCAAACTGAGGTGGTTAACATATGCCTTGAAACCTATCTATGCTGTCTGACTGGAAGAAAACCAAAGAAATGGGTTCAATGGCTACATTGGGCTGAGTATTGGTATAATACCAATTATCATGTTGCTCTGAAAATTACTCCTTACAAAGCTCTATTTGGACAAGATCCACCTACAGTGATTAGAGGGGATGTAACTCTAACTGCTGTAGAAGAAGTTTCCAAGCTGACTGCCCAGAGAAACATAATTTTGGATGAGTTAAAAGAGAATTTGGCTAAGGCCCAGAATCAGATGAGACAACAGGCCAATAAGCACAGAAGAGAAGTTCAGTTGGAGGTGGGAGAGAAGGTTTATTTGAAGATACAACCTTACAAGCTAAGAAGTTTAGCTAAAAGAATAAATCAAAAGCTCAGCCCCAGATATTATGGCCCTTTTGAGATAATTGACAAGCTGAGTTCAGTAGCTTTTAAGCTCAAACTACCAGATGACAATAAAATCCATCCAGTTTTCCATATATCATTGCTCAAAAAGGCTATATCCCCTACTACTTTTTACCGGCCTCTACCCAATTGCCTCAGTGAGGAATTGGAACTACAGGTGGTGCCAGAAGATATTTTGGATACAAGGGTTGACAAGGAGGGAAATGTGGAAGTGTTGGTGCATTGGAGCAATCTGCCGAGCTTTGAAGACTCCTGGGAACCTTTGTTAGCACTCAAGGAACAATTTCCAGAGCTTCACCTTGAGGACAAGGTGAATTTCCAGGGAGGGAGTATTGATAGACATGGAGTAAAGCATGCGGTCCAGTTTTACAAGAAAGTACATAAAAGGAGGAAGAATAGGGCAGTTAATAATAATGATTAACTGACTAGTCTGTTAGTTAGTTAGTAAGGTCCCTGCGTGGACTGTTACTATAAATAGAAGTGGAATAAGCTAGCTAGAAGGATCTGTCATTTTGGCTAGAACTGGGCTAGGAGATTGGGCATCTCGAATTGTCTACAGCTTGTATCAGTGTGTGTTCTTCAATTGTGTGTGATCTGTGTGTTCTTCGATTGTGTGTGTGAGTTCTGAACCAATAATATCAGTGTTCTATCATTCAACCACAAAAGATACAAAGGGGAACCCACATCAGTATCCTAACTAAGCTATCTTAAGGATCAAAAGAGCCAAATGCAAAAAATAAGTATAAATGACACCTACTTTTGGGAAAGAAATTTCATGGTAGAAAAGATTATTTAAGTAAGTGAAAATTATACACTTGGTCCTTAGACTATAGTGTTTTTCTAGTTTTGCTCCTCATCTTTGAAGCAGCCAATTTTGTCATTCAGACCACTAACAAGTTTCTACTTATAGTCCTTTGTTAGGATTACAGTAATATGAACGTCAATTCGAAGGACATAGTGCTAAATATCTTTACTTAGATCTATTTCTCTCTATTTTAGTCGGCCTTTTAGTCAATGTATATTTATAACCATAATATACCAAATCAACACAACTACATTTTATATTTAACTTGTTCTAATTCACTACCTATTCATAAACATTTCTACTATTTGCTGGAATTTCATCACAATAACATAAGAGGTGTGAGGTGTCATTAACTCACTTGCAGTGTTCACCAAATTACTTTCATCTTCACAATATCCATCAAAATGTGTCCAGATAACTAAAACCATAACAGAGGACAAAATGTGGTGGCTTAAATACGTTTTTAGTCCCCACAAATATGACACACTTTGTTTTAGGGCTCTGCAAAATATTTTTTTAGTTTTTCATCCCTGTAATATGAATTATTTTGTTTTTAGTCCACCTCTAATTCCGAAACCACTCTACATAGATAACAATTATTGTCGAATGCATAAATCTACTAGAAATATTTAAATTTGTCCTTTTATAATTTTTCGAGGCTAATGTGAGAGTTAAAAGAATGCAAAACTAAATACTCACATTTTAAAAATATATATTTAAAACCTTCTAAAAAATACAACTAAATAATTTTGGAATAACATGGCAAAGAATTAGAGGAAATCAATTAGTCAGGGTTATTTTGAGGTCAAGCGGAGGTTGTTATCATCGTTGATGGATTAAAAAGAAAACCAACATAAATTGCAGGAATGAAAACAAAAAAATTATTTTGCAAGGATGTAAAACAAAATGTACTACATTTGCAGGGACTAAAAACATATTTAAACCTTTTAAAGATGATGAACAAAAATAAATAAATGAATAAATAACACAACAATGAAAGGATCAAAACTGGAATTTACTATTTCAGTAATCATTAACAGTATTGCAAACCAGACTGACATGAGAAAATAGAAACAGGGAAAGCGAGGGAGAACCCTCAATAAACCTATTTCCAGTTTTACTTGTACAGGGAAAAAGTACTACAAAGATTTCAGCAACTAAAAAAATAATTAACTATATAAACAATTTCCAAAAGATAATACGAGTATTACCTTATTCCATACCATCAGCTTTGGAATCAAAGACGCGCCAATTTCTGAAAGAACTTTATCCACCGCTTCAATTTGTTGCTCTGCCAGTGGATGACTAGATTTTGTAATTACAGATGATGAGAAATCAGTGTTTTATAATGTAATGTTGCTAATATCAAACTATAGAAATAGAAAACCTACATACCTGACGTCCACCAAATGCACCAAAAGTGATGATTCAGATATTTCTTCCAATGTTGCCCTAAAGGCAGCAACCTATGTCCAGAAGTGAAAGCTATTATTTTAAAAAATTTAAACTGAAATATAAACCTTCCCTTGATGCCACGGGAAGATTAAAAGGTTGAAGCATTGATGGGAGAATGTGGATGCTTACCAGCGTAGTTGGTAACTTTTGAATGAACCCAACTGTATCTGTCAGAAGAAACTCTCTAGCATTGTTCATCTGTGCTTTAATGTGTTCAGAACGAGTATGGGATGTTACACACACAAAAACAGTAACACAACTCAAGCTATGCATGCTTTATATCATCCCAAGCAGAAATTACAGTACAGTTTCACCAAAAAAGATCAATTTGTTACTAATTTGTATTAAATGTGAGTCCAATATTGGGAAATGACAACCATTTTTCAGGGATTTGGTTTTCAAACCAATGCAAATCGTCAATTGTAGTATGGAGAAATGTATGTTACTTCTACTCTGTAATTACCTGAACCCTTCTTGTCGTAGGATCAAGTGTGGCAAATAACTTATCCTCAGCAAGAACATCAGCCCCTGTCAGCCTATTCAGCAGTGTACTCTTTCCCGCATTAGTGTATCCAACCTAAAGCATCAAGCTACTATAAATTACTTGATATATACTATTATCCTATTAGCATGACTAATCAGATCATACTACATTTCATATCACCAATTTATCAATTTATCATACCAAAGACACAACAGGGACAGGAACAGAGGTGCGTTGGTTCCTGTACTGTTTTCTATGCTTCCGAACAGATTCTAGCTCTTTCTTGAGAACGCCAATCTTTCAACAAGAAAATTTACAAAAACATTAGACATGGGAAAGAAAAAATGAAAGCACGGTTTTTAGAAGGGGGAATTTGACTTTGCACCCCACTTTTTAGGTGATACTGGACTTTGACTTTGCAATTGGGGTGTAAGTTTTTTGAAAATGGGGTGCAAAGTCCAATATCATCCAATATGTGGGGTGTAAAGTCAAATTTCCCCTCTTTAGAATATAGATCTCATTTTACCTACAACTCTTACAATTCCTACAGAATGTTTGTCAACAATACAATTTTTTCATGAAATATAGATTTTTACCCGGAACATATAATATGCTTGGTTATACTCTTACAATTCCTGCAGAATGTTTGTCAACGATACAATTTTTAATGAAATATATATTTTTACCCAGAACATATAATATGTTTGGCTATACTCTTTTAACTTATTATAATATGTAATTGTCAGTACTAAATGTCACAAGTACAAATTGTGAAAATTGATTTTACTTTTCAAAGTTAGTGAACCCTTTGTAATATGTTATACTGTCTAAGGAAATTGCCCTATATAAGACTAAAGCATAGCCAAAATGCCACAATAGGAAAATTTACGTTTTACTCTCATTTTAGGACTGATATGCTCTTATTCAAAGTTTGTCACATTTGTGTAATATCTAACATACCCCTTTTCAAGTTAATTAATGTGCTATATAGTAAAGATGACATTTGGTTGTGCATTGGAAATCAAGATGACATTTTTATTACTAGTCGAGATGATATTTTTTCAATTCCCATGTTCAGATTAATTCTACAGTCCAAATGGCTATTTTGTACATTGACAATCATGATGGCCTATTTATTACAACTTGAGGTGGAATTTTTACAAGTATTTTAAGCAAGATAATATGCTAACAAAATATCCATTGAAGACATTTATTTTGCTGCGATTCGACTTGATACTTGTAATTTGGCTTGATACGGTATTATAATGTCATCATGGTGGCATTCTTGTTGCAGGATGACATTTTCACTGGGTTGGAAGTACGTGATCTTTTTAAATAAGGGCATTTTTAGTTCACCTTCACTTTTACTTCAACAAGATGACACGGAAAAGTCATGGTCTTATTTTTGCACTTCCTACATGTTTTAGTCCTATTCAGGTCAGTTTCTCTACTGCTTACGGGAAGTACTTTGATACCTATATGTAATATACAGTTTCATTTTCATTTACCCCAGTGCCGCAAAGGCTCCCACCTACGGTGGGGTAAGGGGGGGTCAGATGTACGCAGTCTTACCCCTGTACTAAAGCACAGAGAGACTGTTTCCGGATGACCCATAGTGAAAATCCCGTCCAAAATTGCATGGACTGACTGCTGCTTCATGACAAAGAAGCGCAAACAGTTTAGTGAGCCATTTTGCTTTATTCCATCATAATCTCAAGCCAAAAAATAATGAATCTTTGGCTCCATTGCAAATGATGGAAATATATGTAATATACAGTGAACTTGTAATTTTAAATGGGATAATTTGAGTTTGCACCCCACTTTATTGTCGAAATTAGACTTTGCACCCCGTTTTTGAAATCCTTAGTATTTGCACCCTAACCCCGTATGAAAAGACAAGAATGCCTCTCGATCAGAAATATGTTGAAGGCCAACAAAATTGTTAACTGAGGGGCATTTTAGTCTTTTCATACGGGGTTGGGGTGCAAATACTAAAGATTTCAAAAATGGGGTGCAAAGTCTAATTTCAACAATAAAGTGGGGTGCAAACTCAAAATATCCCATTTTAAATACACAATTTGGGTTGTAACTCTCAATGCTTAAACACTGTTACAGTATGTTAAGATAAATTACTTCAGAATTAGCAAAACAAAGGGTTAAAAAATTAAAATTGAAAAAACTGCAATATAACATGTATTCCCAGTAAATTATTCACACAAGAAAACATAAACAAGTAAATACTTACTTGAGTACGCAATATACGCTTGTCGACTTCAATTTGTTTCTCACCCATACCTTTGACCTGCCCTCCAGCTTGACGCTCAAGGTGAGTCCACATTCTTGTCAGCCGAGGTAACTGATACTCCATTTGTGCTAATGAAACCTGAGAGATTTATTTATGTGAGGCTAAGAAGATGTAGATATTTTGCATGATGACCACAATTAATCACAAAATGGTTTGCCTGTAGTGAAGCCTCACGAGTAGCTGCTCGTTGGTTAAATATATCCAGTATGAGAGCAGTACGATCACAAACTCTGACATCTACCCCAAAACATTTCTCCAAGTTTCGCAACTGCCTGTATTGTGGACCATGATAAATAAGTCTTGTTGGTAAAAAGTACTATGTAAAAACTACGGAGTATAACTGGTTGATTTTTATGAGAGAAAATCAGAATGAAACAAGGCTGTTATCCAGAAACTCAGAAAATGCTGGGGTGGGAGGGGGTAGTCGGGTAGAGATGGAAATATAAGGATAACTTAAAAGGAAAGAGAATGTGGGGAATATAAAACATTGCGCCAAACTTAATAATTTATTTTTTATGTATGTATATTTCTACTATACTAAGACTTAGATATCTAAACATATGTAACATTTTTTAAAACATTGATTGAATTTCTTTTACTCTTGCATTTTCTGAGGTAAAAACAAGCACTATGACTTCTTTAGCATTTTTCTCTGTTCCTAACAGTTTCCAGGATCCAAAAATGCCCTTTAAGAATGTACTCATATAAGTCCCAAAGATAAATGATTATAAATTCAGGCCCTACAATAATCTTTTTATGATTATATTAATTCGGGGCCTAAATTATTTGAGTCTATCAATGGAATCTACTCCTCTATCCCGCTAAGATCGTCCCATTTTTCTTTTTCGGGAAATCCCACTAAAATTGTCTCATACCAAATATGCTAAAGTTTGTGTGGCTCTAAATTATTTTACTTTATTCTTACTTTATCAATTCAATATCAAACACATAAACTCACTTTTCTTAATAACCGTGTCACCCCCTAATGTTTCATTAATAATGAGTCATTATTAGTGGGACGGAGGTAGTATCTACTAGTAACACACAGAAAATCTTCATAGCAATATTTATTCACAAATTGAGCTTATTAGACCATACCCTGGTGAAAGTTCATCATCAAATATTACAGACTCAGCTCCCAAGGAATGGATTGCACTCTTCACTTCTGAGACCTTACCAGATCCTATATATGTCCTAGGGTTTGGAGTGGATAGTCTGCAAAATGAGAAGGAATAAGCAGCAGAAGTTTGAATTATAATCGAGCCAACCAACAATATGCAAATACGTAGTATATGCTAATCACCATTCACCGAAGTCCCTTCTACTATAGAAACAGAATTGCTAGAAGTGAATTTGAAATATATTCAAGTTCCTACTCACTTTTGATATGTAGAACCAACAACCACTAGTCCAGCGGTGTCAGCCAGTTGGGCCAGCTCTTTCAGTGATTCCTCTATACCAAAGGAATCATCCGTACTGCTTTTGCACGCAACTCCTACTATGTAGGCTTTCTCTTCAAAATCCTAGACTTCCCGCGATTTAGCAAACATGTGCATTCATGATGTTACAACTTTTGCTCAAATTAATTCATCAAAGTTGTTTGTGTGTGCGTGTTTTTGTTCTGAACTTCTGTGGAAACCTTGAATATATTCATTTCAAAGTTGTGAAAATTTCTAAGTAAAACTAGAAATTTGAAAATTTATAATGCAGAATAAACAGTACTGACCTCATCTTTATCTTCAGTCTCTCGTCCTTGCTTCCTCTGAGTCCTCTTCGACGCCCGTCTTTGAGCATTTTCTTCTGCTTCGATACTTGAAGCTACATTGAACCCTTCGTAGAGATCCTCCAATCCATCTTCACTTACGGTCTCAATCAACGGAATGCGAACGGGAACGGTACTGTCCGCGTTTAAGTGCTCGCTTCCCTCTTCAACAGCTCTAATCGAACCACAGAAAACGTCATTTCTTCGCCGCTGATTGATGAATCGGAGTTGCCGGGTAGGTTTGAGAAACGATCGGAAATCGGGTTCTGTTAGTGATGTCAAAGGCTTTACATTTGAACAGAGGAAGCATAAGCTCATGATAACTGGAAAAGCAAAGAACCATATATGCTTATTGACTCAAGAAGATAAGAACGTGTATACTTGCAAACAAGCTGGGAAAAAGGATAACACCTCATCCCATCATAAATGAAGGGTTCAATCAATTATAATCACAATTTGACAGATAGAAGTAGGGCTCTGTCCCCGATAACAACTCTTAGACGAGAAAAGTTAGAAAAGTAACCCGTACAAAGTGAAAATAATTTTAAATAGTTTTTTTATCGGTTTTATATTAAAAATGAGAACGTATACCAAGACAATCTTCATACAGATTATACGAATCCGATCGTGAATAATACAGGATTCAATATTTGATACAAGTATTTTTAGCTAAATCATCTTTTAAAATAATCTCACTTCCTCTACCATAATCTCAAAAAGGATCTTCCACATAATCAAGGTGATCCTCAAAAAATCTCATGGATGTGGAGCCCCTAATGAGTAGGAAAGAGAACTTTGATTAATGTGTGATTAAAGAGAATAAGTTATTGCCTAAAATGAAATAAGAACTTTTAAATGACGAAAGTGAGAACCTTTCACACATTATGAAATTAAATAATCACAATATTTATTCATATAGTTCGACCATGCATTGAGAAACACTTGCATCGTGAATACTATCTAACAAGCCCCTGAACCCGTCATAGTTGATCAAATCGGAAATACATTGTATAACTTAAAGTATAAATATGATTTTTTTATCTATCTAATACAAAATAAAATAAATAGAAAAAGATGTTAAAATCTAGTGAAATATAAAATATAAATGTAAGGACAAAACTAAAACTTAAAAGAAAACATCCCTAAGTAGAAATAAAATATAGCAAATGTTCTCAAATAAGAATGTCATTATTTTCATCCTAAATTATATTGGATAAATTAAGAAAAATAGTATATTTTTAAAAATATTAATATAAAAACAATAGAGCCATTATATTTATTTTAGAGTGTTTGCTAGATATTTTTACATCTTTTCCTTTTTATTTTATTTTGTATTAGATAGATAAACAAATCATATTTATACTTTAAGTTATACAAAATATTTCCGGTTTGAATTTTTACATTTTTTATTTTATAACTTTTTTGAAGTATTAAAAATTCCTATTTTATATTTCATACGTTTTAATTCAAAACCTACAAAATTATAAAATATATTAACATAAAATATATAAAAAATATTGAAATCTTAAATAAAAATTGATAATTAAGTCTAAACTTAAACTTAAGTTTCATATTTATATTTTTTTCTATTTTTTATAATTTTTTTTAATTTCTTTGTTGTTTCTATTTTTTATTTTTTATTTATTACATGTTGACACTTTTTATAGTTTAGGGGGTGATTTGATCAACTGTGACGGGTTCAAGTTCTTATTTGAGCTTTTAGTTTCAACTTTAGATGCACATGTGGCAACCAGACCAGTGATGTGCCGGGTGACTGGTTGTTTACCCCTAAAAAATTAAATTTGAACCTTGTTTGCCGATTCGGAGAGCATGCGAATTGCAATTTTTTTAGTTCAGGGACTGAATTGAGCGAACACGACTGGTACATGGGCCTACTTGACCCTTTAGCCTCAAAATAATAGTAGACAAAAATGTGACTATAGTAACATTAATGACTATAAATATATTCAAATGTTATATATATCATATTGACTATAAAACTTATACATAGTAACTTATAGTCACGTTTCTGTCCATATATTTCTATTAGGAATATTTTACAAAAAAAAACCTCTTATTTTTAATAAAACATTTTATCTCTATTTGAGTTTGTTTTTCCACATCGAAAGTAGGGGTGAGCAAATAACCGACAAAACCAATAAAACCGAAAACCGATACCTGAACCGACCGAAAAAGTTGGTTATCGGTCGGTCATCGGTTATTACATATTAAAAGAAGTTGGTTATTCGGTTATTTGGTTAACGGTCGGTTATCGGTCGGTTAACCAAAAACTGAAGTATAGTCTACTCCTATAAACGTTTGTATGTACTTCATGTATGCCATGATGTTTCACTCAATAACATACTGTCTATCATAATTACTCTAAGAAATAATGTCAAATATATGACCAAAATGAATATTATGGATACAAATATGTCTTTTCATACTTTAATGACTATAATTGTAATTTTAATGTGCCTGATTGTGATCAATTTTATATGAATTATAGTAATCATGAATGGTATACTCATTTTAACTTTAGTCATATTTTAGTTTAGTATGTAATACGGAGTAATATTTAAGGAGCCCTCATATTTTAGTAAATCTCGTGTATTTAGTATTTAGTGGTTGACCCAAAAAAAGATAAAATGACACTCATGCACAAGAGAAACTATCAGTAGCGTAAGAAAACTAATTTTATTATGAGATAATTTAATTCATTTCTTCTTATTTATTTCATGAGTGGAGAAAAAGCATTTTATATATGATCAATTATTTCATTCATTTTGTTTTGTAGTGTAAAAATAAATTTATTTTCATCCATTTTTGTATCAAATATTTTTTCTAATATGTTTATCTAAAGCATTCAATTTTTTTAAAAAAGTATGTTTTAAAAATTTATATGGTCGGTTATTGTCGGTTATTCGGTTACCGACCGAAACCGAACTACGATTTTTTGATCGGTTATTGGGATGTTATCGGTCGGTTTCGGTTGATTATTAGAGTGAAAAAATTTGGTCGATTATTCGGTTATCGGTCGGTTATTTGACCGACTCACCGAATGCTCACCCATAATCGAAAGTTGTTTTAGAAATATAAGGACTTCGATTATGGGGGAAGGTGAGTGTAATCCAATGGATGACCATCCACCCTCAAGACTCTCCTTTGTGAGAGGTCTTGAGTTCAATTTCTACCAAGAGAAGATGACAGGGGTCTTGCTCCCTATGATTCTCTCTACCTTCACGGAGTAGTTCGACAGACGACAACTAACAAAGGGAGTGGATGGTAATGAAGGCAGCGGGCTCGTGTGGTGGGAGCAGCAGCTTGGAAGGGCGGGCATTGTAAGTCTGTTGGATTCATTCCGAAACAACTATTTTCTTTTTTATTACCAATAATTTACACGACATGTGTAATGCTACTGATAACTTTTAGTCATGTTTTTGTATATATGTTTTTATTTTAGGCGAAATTCATACTAATAATCCATACTTTTATCGATTCTACGATAATACTCCGTACTGAGCTAATAGACAGAAATAATCCAAACAAATAAATGTGTTCACAAAAATAGATTAAATGATACGGGGATGACAATTCCGTTTAATCGCTCACCCTTATCCCACTTCCCTGCACGATTTCTTTTCTTGTGTGCTAGTGCCACATCCCAAATTGTGCTTCATTCTCCTCTCTCTTTTAACAAAGGAATATCTTAATCACCTTACTCTTCTTCAATCTCTGTTCTTAAACAATATTTTCTCCATCACATCTTAATTCCATCTCAGTCAACCCACTTCATTACTTATCCCGGACCACCAAACACATAATTGAAATGAAACAGTCGAAGAGGGTTGGAGTATTTCTCATATTATAAATAGCTCACAAGAAACGGTTCGGTGAAACTCTTTGGATAATCATCCAAGTAATGTGTTGAGCTTATTTTCACATTAAATTGATTATAATTAAGTGTTAGGGTTAAATTGATTTAATTTTAGAATTGTTTTTATGTGGTATCCATAAAAACAGAGAATATTTTGAAAATTTTCACTCTCTTTAGTAACATAGAAGATTTCTGCAAAGGAAATTTTGATCATTTTTTACTAATTATACCTGCATAAAGAGTAATGTCCCTTGTTCGCTCGTCGACCCAGATCTTAATGTCTCCAAAGGTTAAATCATGTCATGATTGCAATTGATGGTTAATTTGGATATACGAAGTATTTTGATATTGGACTCGAGGTTAATTCTTTTACTAAAATTATAAATGGTCATGATTTTGATGACGTGTAGATATAGGCACATTAATGTTTGAGTTGGAAGAAGAAGCTACACAATGAGGGAGATGACGACGTGAATGAGGTTATAACAGAGCCGTTTAGTCCAGTTTACTTTTGCCTATTTTTGTGAATAGGTTTATGATTACAGATTATTTATATCAATTTGTTTAATAGAGATTATTAGTGTAGAACGTGTGAAAGTATGGACTATTTCTATGAATTTCACCATTCATTTTATTAATATTTTTGGAAAAACCTCTTTACACATTTATACAATGTTTGTTGATTTTTATAAAAAAATGTTTAGTGATGATTAGTTTAAGTTTTTGTGTTATTTTATGGGTTTAATTCAATCAACATTTTGAATGACAGTGTGGATTAATAAATACATTATACATTATACATATCAAAATAGAACCTTTTAGCATAAACTTAAGCCCTTTGAACATTATTGTTGACAAATAAATAAGTGAAGATGCCCGAAAGAAACAAGGGAATAAGACATGAATAAGACTAAATCAATAGCACAGAACCTAAATAGGACTCGACACTTTTTTACTCCTAAATAAGACTATTTTAATGTGAAGGGAAAAAAATGCCCTCACTTCACACTTTAATGATTTTAGAGACTTCTCCAGACTCCACTCACCGACCGCCGCCAGACCTCCGCCGGACCTCCGCCGACCGCCTCCGTACCGCCGCCGGACCTCCGCCGCCGCCCGTCAGACCTCCGCAGACCGCTGTTGCACCTTCATCGACTAACACCAGACCTCTGCCGGACCTCCGCTGACCGCCTTCGTTGTACCTTCATTGACCGCCGCCGGTCCTTCGGCGACCTCCGCCGCCAGTCATCCGAAGAACTCCGCTGCCAGTCCTTCGGCGACCTCTGATGCCAGTCCTCCGACGACCTCCACTGCCAGTACTCCGGCGACCTCCGCCACCGGTCCTCCGGCGACCTCCGCCGATGGTTCTCCGCAACCTCTTTTGGCAGTACTCCGGCAACCTTCGCCGCTGGTTCTCCGCAACCTCTTTTGTCATTACTCCGACAACCTTCATGACCAGAACTTGAAGAGCCAAGCTTCAACATTCACCAGAATATTACAATGTCAATGCAATGATATTGGCAATGTAAATATTAATAC